AAAAAAAAAAAAAAAAATAGTAGGGGCTTTGATGAAAACTGCCTGCCTCCGCTCAAGGACTAGGCACAGGCCGCGTCCGGAACAGACTCTTATCAATTGGGGTCGGCATATTGCTTGGACAGGGGTAAGGCATGAACGCTGCAGCGGGCAGCAGCCGTGGCAGTCATGCTCAAAATGAAGCGCAGGAATTTGTTACTTACGACCCGATTTCGCTGTTTCGGCAAGCGGGGACTGTTGCAGGCCTTAGTCTTGCGTCAAGGCGATTGGCCACATCGGGCCGACTACTTGTTTATCAGCCCAAACCACCGTAAGTCGTAAGGAACACATTCAGCGCTTGCAGAGCTAAGAAAGGTCCTGTTGTTCCACCGATGGGGCCGCATCGTCACCATAGGTTACTAACTTCTTAAACGCACTTTCATCGCCATGTCCGAATGTAAGTGCTTGCTGCATCTGGGGTTGAGCTACCGATGGTTCAGGGCCCGGAAGACCAGCTTGAGCTCTTAATTGTTCAGGAGCACGACTTAAATTGCCGTAACAGGAGGATGTGGTAAATAATGCGCTTACAATGATTATCGCTGTTATTCTTGCCCTTGCATAATGATCATTGTTACCATGCCTATGCAAGATCCAGCATCTCTAAACCCTGACTCCCGAGCCTCCTCACTCACGGGGCACCGAAACCCCCGAACCCCGCATAGCCTTCTTGAGGGATCAGAGGGCTTAGTAAGTAGGGTCAGGTATTCGGCTTTAGAATTTTGTTTAGGGCTTAGGGTTACCTTGATTAATTGAGCTATGGGTTTAGAGTTTTGTTTAGTGTTTAGGAATACCTTGATTGGGGCTTTTTGAACTATGGCTGCCTTACGCACAAGTCCCAAACTCCCGAAGCCCATCCGAGTCTCCCCGTCTGCTTTGCCTTGCTCTTCAGCCCGCGAAGTGAGTGCCTCAGCTCTCGAAGACAGGCTTCAGGGCTTTGAGGGTCTTCTGGCGTTTGGGTTTTGGGATTCAGAAATTTGGGCCCACTTTGAGAGTTCCAGGGCTTTCGAAAGAGTTCGGTAGTCCTGTTTTGAAGTCACCCGCCCAATTTTGGGTGGAGACAGAACGAACAAGAAGTTTGGCCGAGAGCATGAACTGGCAACAGAGTTCATAGGCCAACATCGCAGATCGGTGCTTTGCTGCCTTTGTGCTTGTGGGGTTCTGTCATGATAACACTTTCACGTTTGTAAACTCAGACTAGTTTCCACCTCTTAGCATGTCTTCACGACCGCGGGCCGTACCTGTTGATACCTGCTACGTTTGTCAGTGGCTGTCCCTGCTTTCACTTTTCACCTCTGCAGAAGCTTTTCGCTGTTTTTGGTTGTCTTAGCATTTGATTCTGTGGTCGATCCTGCCATTTGCTGAGTTGCTTGTCTTGGGAAGCAGCAACAGGACTATGTGCCCTTTTCATGGCACGATTCTCCTACCATCATCGCTGCCACGACTGCTCGGTTTTTTGCTTGCGGAATCTCTGTAAGCGAGGCTTCTTCACACTGTGCTCCGGAAATCGGAAGCCCAACCAAATGCCCGAGACGCATCACGGTGCCGCTGTTGGCCGGCTTTGCAAAGGTGAAGATGGACGAATACCTGGGGTCAATGAAAGCCCGATGTGATTTGCGTCTCAGCAACTGGCAGCACATGATTCACTTCCTTGTCAGCGGCCATGAACGGAGCTGGCGAGTTATCAGGTTTACACAACATACCCTCCGGCGGAGCACAGCCCAACCACCATCCTCTGCCCTTCGTCGAAGCTTCCCATGTGTCCGAATCCTAACTTGGCAGCCCGAACTCACCCATAAATGGAATCCAACCCCTGCACTCCCCGACTTCCGGATAGCCGATTCGAACATGACAATGGTCTTCCATTTCGACTCATGAGCACAAATTGCTACTAAGGCTTCTACACCTTTCTCGGAATAGGACTCTAAATCGTACGTCTTCAACCCAAACGTCAGTTCGAAGCTGCACAAGACCTCGAATGCTTTCCAGATGCCAGTCTTCACAATCGTCCGGTAGCCCACTATCCGCCTGACCCGAAGTAGCATCATCAACTGTTTTAGGTGTTCCGGATTTGAAGACCTACACTGTCCTACGCAATAAAACTTCAGACCGTCAGCATGACTACTATGAGAATTTATACTACGCCTTTAAGCCTTGAACCTCGCGGTATACCCCTTGCCAACCCGCGGCTACATACAAAAAACACCAAGCCCAAACCCCTATATAAACCCCACAAGAAACAGACTCGTCCTCTTTCCCGGTTCGCAGGATGCTCGCCAAGACCACGCGCTTTGCACCAAGGAGAAGAAACCAAAGACCTGAGGGCTTATGGGGTTTAGCGTCTGCAAATGTCTACGTCTTAATCTTTCAGGTTTCATTTCAAATATTCGTTGGTGCCACTCGCAATTCGGAATCCGTTTGCGGCTTTCGACACTCACACTCGCACCTCGTCCCCAACCGGCGGGCGACGACCACAACCAACCACCATGAAATCATAAGCTTACGCCAAATCAAGCAGCAGTCCTGTGTCATTACCATCGAAGACTCAGGCCTTACAGGAAGCATAGGCTAAATATCAGATCCCAAGCTAGCGGTGGCTTGAGAAGTTACCTAGCGCATCTGGCATGTCCCATTGGACCATCACTCCGAGGACCCCTAAACCCTCAACCCCCAACCCCTAGCCCTCAATCCTAGGCCCTATATATATACCCTAAACACCTAAACCCCTAAACCCTAAACACCTAAACCCCTAAACCTCTAAACCTCCAAACCCCAAGCCCCGAATCCTGAACCAGCCCTGACAAAGCTCCGGGGCACTCTGCAGCCCAACATCCGTGAGAGGCTCCGTGAGCGTCCAGTAGCGGCCAAAGGCATCGCCAACATACCTTGGGGATTTAGGGGTACGGTGTAGGGTTTAGGGTTTAGGGTTTAGGGTCTTAGGGATTTAGATTCTGTCAGGCCTTTCGAGTGAGTGTCTGTCTACGAAAGCACTTGGTTTTTGTCAATGAAGCTTCATGTGGGCCTAGTTGTGGTAGGCTTGTCCATGAACCTCTGAATCCGTTTGGCAAAATGCTGCTCACAACCGAGGTTTATAGATGCCGGCTACCCCTGAAATCGCCGCGTCCGTGCAGAAATCGAAACTGAACTCTCCTCAAAGGTTGGTTTAATGTAGGGGCCTTAATAGTTAGAAGAGGGTTTGGGGTATATTGTACTATAGTTAAAACAAGGAACCCCCGAAACCCTATTCTAATAATCCAGGCCCCTACATTGCTTGTGTTTGAAGGCTTCGACATGGCTGCTCTTCTCAGCAAGTGCATCGTGCCAACAAATGCTGCAGCTCTCGGTCTTCGTCAACATGGTTTCGGCGACGGCAGACTAGACTAACAGGCAAGACCCCAGGTGGAGAGAGAGTATGCATGTCACACGCATGAAGCCCCTGAGCCTGACCCCAAAGCATGGACCCCCTATCTGCACGGATCTGAAGCTCACTGCAGCCAGGCCTGCCCCGCCCCGGTCCGGAGCATATTGAGGTAGAAGGGCGTGTTGATAAATTGCGCCAGAGAGCCTGGGAGGTTGGGGTTCGGGAGGCGCGGCCGGATGATGCTGTCGGCCCAAAGGGTTTTTCAAGGTTCTGAAACTTTCGGTGCCTGGGTCCCCATCTCGCATTCGAGGGTTTTCCCTATAAGAGATCCTTACACGAGAAACATCGGCGACCATGGGTCGATCCGGTTTAGGGACATGTCTGTCGTTCCGACAGTAGAGACAGGCGTTTGTGGGCTAAGAGGTCACGGATACGTGGATCCAGGGCTGCGGCTGGGGCTTAGTGCCCGGGTCAGTAAAGCTACGGCGTGCTACGGCGCCGAAGTACCTATGTGTAACTAATCAAAAAAAAAGAGGTTTCCGAAAATAAGGGGTACCTTATTGTGGGGTCCTTATAATAAGGATCCTACTGTTTGGGCTACTATATTAGGGTCCCGTATTTTCGGAAAACCCAAATGTGTTGCTGCACACTCCCCCAAACACACGCTGCCCTTAACGTAGCTGCTACAACGGACCAATGACTATAGTAGGTATATTAGAGTTCCGGACACTGCGGGACCAGGAGAACGCTCTAAGTAGTAGGATCATTAATACGAAGACTCCATAATAACTTTACGCATGTATACATACACATACACATATGTATGTATATATATATATATAAACCATATATATATATACATATATACATACGCATATATATATAGGTATATAGATATACGCATGATAAATGTCGAACGATCCATCCATGCCTTCCACCGGAAGCTCGCCACAGCCGTCGACCCGAGTTGGGGGTCTCTTCCATCCACCCGGAACTTAGTCCGGCCCTCACCCTGGGGTTTAGGGTCTAGGGTTTAGGGGTTTAGGGTTTAGGGTTTGTATACTATACTATAACTATCCATATATATATATACTATATTATATATATATAGATCTTGAGAAGGCTTTTCAAAACGGACTTGTGGGGTTTACAGGAACCTTTTTTCAAGGCTTGTAGGAACCCTAAACCCTAAAAGTCTACAGGGGTTTGTAGATAGAGCCCTAACCTTTCCACGAACCTGCAAGGATTCCGAGGTAGGAGAGCCTACTGCCAATGCCTGAGGCCCTCAATGCCCTACTTGGGGTTACTCTGCTCTGCCTATGACCTGCCGACACTTACTAAGCCCCGTCCTGCTTCATATGTCCCCTGAGCCCTATATTCCAATCTCTCTAGAGCCTTGCACATGACATGACATAAATACTAACTGCAAGCCCCAGACCATTACATCCTACCGGAAACGTGTAAACGGCCCCGAAAGCCCCCAAACCCAAACCCAAAGAGCCCCAAACCCGAAATCCCTAATACCTCAGCCTTTTCAGAAACGGTATAATCTTGGGATCCCGAAACCCCAAACCTTAAACCCTAAATTCTCAATCCTAAAGCCCTAAACCCTATACATGCAAGCCCTTAAAGCCCTTCAACCCTGTAAATTCTGAACCCCAGGCCCTACAACCCTAAATCTCCAACTCTAAGCCCGAAACCTTAACCTCTAAGCCTTCAGCCCTTTTAACGTCTAAGTCCTCAACCTAAACCCAGTTCACGCCAGCAAGCCCTGCTGCTGCACAAAGCGCTGGGCCACCTTCGCTGCTAATCGTCGGCTGCGGTAAGGCTCGGGGGCTGTACGGTTTAGTTTAGGGTTTACCTAAGCCTCGAGTAGGTATAACATAATGACCCAATACTTATAAAAGCGCTAGCTTCTACGTACTGTTGGGGTCCAGGAAGGGGTTGATGGGGTTTAGGGTTTGGGGCCTTTTTTAATCTATATGTCTTTTGGGGGCCCGAGGCTTTGAAGCCATACACGGTTTCATAGGTACAGGGTTCTGGGGGATCCTATAGTTCCATGCGGCTCATACTATAGGGTCGTAGGTTTAGGAACCAGCGTTTCAGGAGGACGTGATGCCGCTACTGATGTTGATGGCGATGATGATAGTGGGGATGAAGGCAGCCAGATAGAGAGATGTATGGTGTACCGGTGAGTACCATGACTATTGCAGAATGTTGGTGGGCTTCACAGAGCTTTATTCTTGCTCGAAGCATCATATTGGTGCCCATCTTGTTTCTCCGTTTGGGCTTCAGGGTTTATAGGGTTTAGGGCTTCGTCTTGTTCTCTCGCACAATCAGGCAAGGCTCCAATGGTTTAATCTTTTTCGGATCAATGATTCAGTTCGGGATCGGGCAGTCGGCCTGCCAACACACCCTGAACCCCAACTTGAGTTGTGGATGTGGGACCCCGCACAAGTTCGAGAAGTGTATCTTTGCGTGGCCGCAGGCCTGATTGAGGTCGAACTAGGCACCATTTGGTGTTGTTTGGGCCTGGTTATGTCTGCCTTGTGTTGGGGTTTATCATGTAGGGGTTCTAGAGTGCAAGCAAAACTGAATAGGTTGTTGGCTGCATCCCGCAAATGCTGCCCTGCACCCTGACTCCCCAGCTTAGTGGCTTAACCCGAGCCCCATCCATCAAGAGAACAGCATCAAGGGTGCTATCATGATGTCGGGAATGCTGCTAAGCACAGCGGTGAGAAATGGCATAAACAGCCAAGGCTCTGTCTGTGCCTCTTCTGTCGGCGGCGCATCCTCCTCCTGTGATTTAGGGCTCAGATTTTGGGATTTAAGATTCGGGGTTCACGGTTTCGGGAAGGCTAAGGGTTGGGCTCGAGGTTTTTGAAGACTGGGGTTCTTGTGCCCTTTTGGGGCTTAGGGTCTCAGGATTCAGCCGTTGGGGTTCAAGCTTTAGGGTTAAGGTGTGGATTCAGGTTCCGAGGAGTGGGATGCCCGAAATCGAGGCCTACGGCGTCTACGGTCTGGGGATCTCCAAGATTCAGGCTGCAAAGAATATCCCCAACCCGTAAACCCCAAAGGCCGGAGAAAGGAGCCCTTAGAACAGCCCCTACACCCCTCTGAACCCTAAACCCTAAACGCTAACCGCCAAAAAAAAACCGTCGAACTTCGAGGCTCCAAGGCTCCCAAAGACGGTCCAAGTCCTTAAACCTTGCAGCGCGCTTGAACGGTTAAGGGTTATAGGGCTCCCTACTTGGAGGTTCATGGGTAGTTATAAAGGGGTTATAAGTCCCCTAATAGGGGTTATAACTATAGTTGCCCTACTTATAACCCCACTTATAACTACCCATGAACCTCCAACTATAGAGACTTGGAGCCACTAGAGACTTGGAACCACAAACACAAGAACCTGCAAGTTCTATAGCACCTGAACCGAAAACTCCTGGCCTTTGCTCGTTCCAAAATCGCGAATTCTGCAGACCCTGAAGGTCCCCGAAGCCTAGTATACCAGATTCTACTATAGCACGCATGATTCATTGCATTAGAACTTGCGACAATGTACCTATAATATCTAATCCAGAACGCCGCGGTTGTGCAATTCTTGTCCTCGCCATCGCGGCTCGCCAAACACCGTGCAACCAGAGCTTCTTGGAAACTCAAGTGCCTTTGGGTAATGTAGGGGCCTTAATAATCAGACTAGGTTTTGGGGACCCATATACTATAGTTATAGTAAGGAACCCCCTAGGAAATTATTTAGGCCCCTATAGTAAACGGAGTTTAAAGGTTCTGAGGTTTCAGGCGGAGGATTGAAGAAGGAAAGCTTGATGGTTCAGGGCTAACCATAGCCACCTAGAGGCTTGAAGGCTTAAGCTTATAGGGTTTAGGATTCAAGTCTTTAGTGCTTTGGGTTTCCCGCCTGTCGACGTGTGGATACTGCGCTTAGGCAGGGTTTCGGAGACTTTGGACTTTGGACTTTGTTGTGAGGACTAGGCGGGGTTTGAGGTTAATTAAGGGCTTTCGGTGCCACGGCTAGGGGTTTTTCAGCCTCTGGTCTTCCCCTAACCCCCAGGTACCTACTATATAGGGTATTAGAGCCCCTGGGTCCCTATATAATTAGTAGGTACCTGGAGCCTTAAACCCTAAACCCTAAGGAGGGTTAGGGTTCCCTGCGCAATTTTGGTTGGAAGGCTCCTTCTTGTTCTGCTCGAGGAAGGAGTTCCACATCGTGGAATTCGCGTGAGGAGAGGCCAACAGGACGCTTACAGAGGGGGTTACGGGCCCGAAACCTCTGAGACGCTAATCACAAAGCCCTACAACACCTGACACTCTAAACTCTGAACCCTTCAACTTGGAAAGCGTTAAATCTTCCAAGCCTCACACCTCAAACTTTAAACAAACAAACATTTCAAGATAAAACGCGCAAAAACACTAAAGCCCAAACACCTTCGACTCTTGAACCACGCCCAAACTAAGCCTTGACTGACTCGAACCCCTTTTGACAAGTGAATCCATGCAACAAAGCAGCAGACCAAACTGATTGCACTCGCTTCAGACAAGCGAGCACAAGCTTTGAACACAGACCAACCAATGCTTAAACAGTAGTATATGGGCTTCGATAATTGCAATAGGGCTTTGGTGTAAACTGTAGTATAGTCACGACAGGGAAGCCCTGAGGAATAACATAGGTAATCATGTTCAGTCGGCCTGAACTGGAACTCGGCACCCTCGCCATCAGACAAGACCTTCACGAAAGGAACCTCGCCTCTTTCCCTCGGCAAGCTGGGTTTCTTAACGGGTCTATATAGGTCTTAGGGTTCCGCATGGGTTCGCAAATAAAGCTCAGGAGCTACCGAGCTACTGTATAAGTTCTCGACCAATGTTCGGTTTGAGCCTTAGCCCAAAACCCTAAACCGTGTCTTCTACGGAAGGCGTGGGAAGTGGAACTCTGGGATTTGTGGTGTTCAGCGTTTAATGCCGTGAGCTTTGGGGTTTCTTAATGCTTCGGCTTGGTGTTTAGGGTTCAGGGTCGAGGGCTTTTGGGCTTTGGGGTTCCAGTTTTCGGTTTGGGGATCTTGGTGGCCGGCCCGATCTTGTTCCAATGAGAACCACCCCAAATCTCCAAACCCTAAACCCTAAACCGCCGAAGGTTCAAATAACTTATGAAAACTTTGAAGCTCTTGAGTAGATGTGTCCGAACACATTCCACGGCACGACTTGGGTGTCGCCCCAACCTGCCGAAGCGCGAAACAGGCTGCAGAAATCCCAGCATTAAGAATCCTCGCCGAACATTCCTTCTACATTCCCGCCACCCGAAACCCTGAACCCCCCAACGTACCTCTCACGGGTACTGCAAACCACTTACATAAACGACCCAGCCGCACGCAGGTCAGCCACCGTTGGAGTAGCTCGGGCGATGTGGACAAGGCATCATCGACGTCGTGCTGTGTGAAGATACCTGGAGGCTAGTTCAGCGCTTTAGTACTGGCGGGGGGTGGGGGTGGGGCCTGTACAATAATGGCAATGATGGCGCTTTTTAGCATTTAGCTATCAATCGTGATTATTCTTCCCGCAACCGTCACAATCCGCATCTTTACTTGCGGCAAGGATCAGTTGTTGCGGTTGTTAACATCAGAAACGAACATGAGACAAATAAACTACTATCCGTGGTCACGTTAGTATGATATAGTATGATGGGTCCTGTTGCGCTGTTGCTCTTGTTTGTGATCCTGGTCGCAGCAGTCTCAACAAAACAGCTGTTGTCGTCGTTGTTGCAACAGGAGGGTTCAGGGCCCATTGTCAGAAACCTCGGAATGAACATCAAAATCATACCCTAAACCCGAAACCTTGATCAGAGGCCACGACGGTCACATGCAGTCCAAGGAACGCTTCTGCCTGAAGTGATTCTCCACAGCCACCTGCCGAAGAGCCCGAACAAAGGGAATTGCAAAAAACACCCTCCAATGCCGAGCGTCTTGTAGCCTTGGCGCTGTAAACATTAAGCCTGTCAAACCCCAAACTCAAACAGAGCCACACAGAGCCAGAGAGGGCCGACGGCTTGGGGAAGCTGGAGGTGCCTCTTTTCTTTCCAATGGTTTCGGGATGAATATAGGGGCCTCAACAAGTCGTGCGCGAACAGACTAGGGTTCCTTTAGGGATTCTTAAAGTTTCAATCGGGTTTTTAGGGTGTAGTGTCGTATACCTATATACCAATTGTAAGGGGATAGTAGTCGTTTCTTTCCAACTCAGGGTCTTGCTGTGCGCACGGGTGAGCGTAGCCTCGCCCAGAAAACTCCAAACTCGTCCATCGGACGAATAGTTACCGAGAGCCATCAAATTCTGCATTAAATCCTCCATGGGCCTGGAACACGTTGTCCTCAAGATGTAACACAACACCGGTACTGCCCTTACTAAGCGTCCTGCACCCGAAATCCCTGAACCCTGATACTTCCCCCCCGCTGTTAAGAGCCGATCTGGCCTTCTGCATCATCTCCCAGATTGCAGCGACTTCGTCATCCCCAGCCTGCTCCTTTTAGGGCTTCAGGCTTGGGGCTGGTGGGTTTCGGGTTTTTGTGGGCTTCAGGTACTTGGCTCTAAGCCTTCCGCCGTAATTTATGTGAGGGTTTTGTAGATGCAATACAAGATATTCCCTAATTGCGGGCTCGTGGATCAAAGGCATCTGCGGCCCCAAAGAGTCACAGGCCTCCTTGAGGCTACCCAGCAGCATGTTGCGGAGGCCACGCTCCTAGGAAGTTGGTGGGTTTGGGGCCTTCAGCATCTTCGTGTTCTCTTTCTAGGATTGTCGGATGTCTGCTTGACTGGCTCTTCGTCGGATGATAGTTAGTTTCTATGGAGTTGTTTAGGTCGTGTCGTTGGGCTTTCTGGGTTTGAGGCTTCAGGTCTTCAGATTGAAGGCTCCGGTCACTTGCTTAGGGGCCTGCGAACTCAAGCTGGTCTTTAGCCCAACGCGATCACTGATTCGGTGGGTGGCCTCTAAAGATGTAGCAACAAGGCAAAAGCAAAACAGTTCATGCCGATAGCTGTCTTTAAGACCAAGACCTTGTTGAAACAAGACGAGTGGGACGCCCCTACACATCACGAAGACTCACGGTGACAACAAATTACCCCATAATGCCAAGCAAGTATGCCGGTGGAGGTACGTAACACGTAGCCGGGTACTGTAGCAAAGTCGGACTCTGTTCGTCGTTCCACAGAACAACCTCCCACAAGATATCGCGGAGGACGAAGTCGCATAACAACTAGTGTTCTCTACATCTGCGGATGATTGCGAACGACTACCCGAGTTCGGTCGTAGTCAGCAAAAAATGATCGTCTTCTATGAGTTTTACAGCAGTTTGTACGTTGTCTTGAACTTGAATTTGCCTACATAACTAAGTCGAGTGAGATTTTGAGATACCGATATATTGTATAGTAGCATCAGGCATGAACTATTAGTGAACGTTAAACTATTCGGAACCCTGTACCACTTGACTTGCCCCTCTCCAACTGCAAATCAGGGCACATAGAGCTCCAGCAGATTGCCCGGCATTTGGCCTCAGTGATGCAATGCTACAGCTGGGATAGCAGTTCAGCAACCCAGATCCCCTACCCAAGCGAGCCCAATACTTGCGGAACAACTTATATTCCTGAAAACGCATGCAGGGGCATGAAGTTCTGTCACTTCCAGTACGGAGGTAAACGGAAAACGCGGAGTACAATAATTCAAAAAAACCGAAACATTCGCAAAACCTTTGCCTTGTTAGCCGAGAACTACTTTACCTGCATACATTGTAGTACTGTAACGGCTCTGGGTAGAGGACCTGTGGAAGTCTACCCGGAAGAGGGGTCTTGGACAGGTCGTCTGTAAGTGAAACCCCGAATGTAGCTACAGTAACTTATGAGGGATTTAAACCCTAAACACTAAACCCTACATCCCTAAACCCTAAACCCCAAGTTTCGGGTTAGGTAGCATGCAAGGGAGAAGTCTTGCTTGGGGATTTTTCGGGTGCAGGCCTTGCGGCTTCAAGGCTTGAGCCGCTTAGCCTAACCCCCATATCAAAACAATATACACTAAATGTAATATGCTATAGTCTTACATTTTCTACATTATCTGCTATTTGTTAAACATTATTAATGTTATTAATCATATATCACAGATTACATTATATACCACACGTTACATAAACTTTGTTATATACCACATGTTGTACAGCATCTATTGTCTATCATATATTCTATATCATAATCATATCATCGTATAACAAATAGGTATATGAATTTCTGGATTATTAGATTATAGCGATTCTTCTTTGTTTGCCATCGTCTCCCGGCACTCTTGGTGTGACGGCGAGAACATGGGCGCGAGGGGTGGCTTTCGAAATGGCGGTTGACTGCATACTTACATACATGTAATGGTGTTACCTGTACGTGTTGGCATAAGGAGCAAAGGGACGTGACGTGGATGTTTCCGAATGAACTTGTTCGTGTAGAACACCAACTTATTTTGCGTAGGTCCCACTACTCGTAGCTTGCCACGGTGGCACATCTGTGCCGAATCTGGCGGGTAGCTTCGTGTTGGGGGTGCATGCGTAGTATGTCCAGCCGGCTTCGCGCGCAAGGCTTGAACCCCAAGACTGCAATACTGCAGCAATTGCCTAAACCAATTTACGTACAGCTTCAGAAAACTACCTGAACTCATCTTGAAGTTTCCATGGCAATGAATCAATGAAGGACGCCGGCTGACTCAGCGAGTTTTGTAATCTCTAAAGAACCTGAAACACACCCAAACTCTAAACCCTAAACCCTGGAACCCTAGCCCGAAGCCCTAAGACGTAAGCCCTAAATCCTAGAAGACCCTAAACCCTGAAAGCCTAAGCCCTAAGACATAAACCCTACATGCTAAAAGACCCGAAACCCTGAAACCCTGAGCCCTAAGCCCAAAGACGTAAGCCCTCAATCCTAAAAGACCCTAAATCCTAAAAGACCCTAAACCCTGAAACCCTAAGCTCTAAGCCATAACTCCTAAAAGGACCCTTTTGCCCCGAACCCGGGAGCCGGGAGGCTGGAATTCAGCAAGGCCATGGTCATCACGGTCAGCAGCACCGGAACTTCTGAGATCTCCTTTTCATGGGAACTCCACAAAGGCGGTTTCGGGTTTGGGGTTTAGGGTTTAGGGTTTAAGGAAATTTTNNAGGGTTCGGGTTCAGGGTTTACGGTTGAGAGTTCAGGGTCATGGGATGTTATGGGTCTAGGAACGATTTTTCCGGGATGCCAGAAGTGGTATCACCTTTCAAACCTTTTTTTCCCAAGCAGCTGCAATCAACGCCTAAGCCATAAAGCTTAGCTACTTGCAGGAGCCAATGACAGGTTGCCTTAGTATCGCAATCAGTTTGCTGTCCTTTTTAGTCGCCAGGTTGCGGATTAAAAACTACGAACCCTGAAATCCCCTCCCTAAACCCTAAACCCTCCACCCAAATCTCCAAAAAGACGATACCGAAACTCTGAACCCTTAGCCACCGTCGCAGGCAAGGATCCTTGAACAGCTGCATCCGCTGCTCCAGCATGAAGTTCAGATCTGGGAATTTGGGGTTTCTACGTGTTACTATAGGGGCCATCGTAATTAGAATAGGGTTTTGGGGC